CCCTTTGATTGACCCCCCCCCCTCCAGATGGCAGCCTGCGGCAAGTGCAGCTGGTTTGATGGCCGAGGGCTGTGATGTGCCCAGTGTGGGCATTCAGGGCATTCCAAGTCAGGACTGCTTTGCAAGCAGGGAACCCTGAGAACTGTCTGTCCGGGGTGGGGGTCGGGTCACTTTAAGCGCAGCCCTCGGCTAGCCTGAGACTGCATCTCCACGCTCTTAGTCCTCATCTGATGCCCTGCTGGCACTGCTTCCGGCCATCCTTAACCTCGTTTCAGGGTCCACTCTGTGTGGACATGCTAGTTCGAATTAGCAAAACGCTAATTCAAACTAGTTTTTAAGTCTAGCTGCGCTAATTCGAATTAGCTTAGTTCGAATTAACTAATTCAAACTAAGTTAGTTCCAATTAGCACTGTAGAGTAGACATACCCTCAGAGATTACAGGAGCAGTCACAAGGGGAGCCTAGTGTGGGGCAACAGCAGTGGCATTCCCACCACCAGTGTCAGGAGTTACGGGAACGTGGAGCGAACAGGAGCTACAGGAAAGTGGAGCGAATTTGACAGGCATGCTCACTCTTCTATGCTTTGCTTCCCTGCAGCTCCTGCTGCTGTGAGGAATACAGGGTAGGGGCCCAACTGCTGCTGCCCTGCCAGGCCAGGCCTCTTCATTAATCCCTTTGGCCACATCCTTCGGGGCAGGAGAGGGTGGGATGGTGGTGGGAAGGGGCAGAGCTTGGGAAACAATAACAGGACTTCCAAGGCGCATTGCACAATTGCTCTGGCCCAGGAGGGCCCATGGTGGGTCAGGCATTTGAGACCTCTCCTCTACAGCCTAGCTTTCACTCAGAAAAAAAGTGTGGTTTAACACATGCTCATTAATGTTTTAAAATGCTGGAGTAGCAAATGCAGATACGTTTACCTTGACTTGCTAACACATTAAAACTACAACTGTCGTGTCTATAATTAGGGTTCTAATATGTGTTAAAATATACCTTCCTAGGCAACGTATTCTAGTGTTTTAACTACTCTGACAGTTAGGAATTTTTTCCTAATGTCCAACCTAAATGTCCATTGCTACCGTTTAAGCCCATTGCTTCCTGTCCTATCCTCAGAGGCCAAGGAAAACCATTTTTCTCCCTCCTCCTTGTTACACCCTTTTAGATAGCTGAAAACCGCTCTCATGTTCCCTCTCAGTCTTCTCCTTTCCACACTAAACAAGCCCACTTCTATCAGTCTTCCTTCACAGCTCATGTTCTCTAGGCCTTTAATCATTCTTGTTGCTCTTCTTTGAACCTTCTCCAGCACAGAGTAGAGTCCAAGAATGACTTCTTGTGTCTTGCTCACAACACACCTGTTAAAGCATCCCTGAATCATGTTTTCTTTTTTTGAAGTAGCATCACACTGTTGATTTATATTTAGCTTGTGGTCCACTATGACCCCTAAAACCTTTTTGCAGTACTCCTTCCTAGACTGTTGCTTCCCATTCTGTATGTGTGAAACTGATTATTCCTTCCTAAGTGAAGCACTTTGCATTTGTTCTTATTAAACTTCATCCTATTTACCTCAGACAATTTCTACAGTTTGTCCAGATAATTTTGAATTATGACCCTATCCTCCAGAGCAGCTGCAACCTCACCAAGCTTAGTATCATCTGCAAACTTAATAACCATACTCTCTATGCCTTCATCTAAATCGTTGATGAAGATATTGAACAGAACCAGTCACAAAACAAACATCTGCAGAACCCCTCTTGTTATGCCTTTCCAGCAGGATTGTGAACCGTTAATAACTATTCTCTGAGAATGGTTATCCAGCCAGTTATAAACCCACCTTCTAGTAGCCCCATCTAAGTTAATATTTGCCTAGTTGTTTGATAAGAAGGTCATGTGAGACCATATCAAATGCCTTACTAAAATCTAGGTATACCACATCCACTGCTTCTCCCTTATCCACAAGACTTGTTATCCTATCAAAGAAAGCTATCACATTAGTTTGACATGATCTGTTCTTTACAAATCCATGTTGGCTCTTACTGATGACCTTATTGTCTTCCAGGTGTTTGCAGATGAATTCCTTAATTACTTGCTCCATTATCTTTCCTGGCACAGAAATTAAACTGACTGGTCTGTATTTTCCTGGGTTGTTCTTATTTCCTTTTTTATAGATGGGCACTATATTTGCCCTTGTCCAGTCTTCTGGAATCTCTGCTGTCTTCCATGATTTTTCAAAGATGATAGCTAGAGGCTCAGATACCTCCTCTATCAGTTCCTTGAGTATTCTAGGATGCATTTCATCAGGCCCTGGTGACTTGCAGACATCTAAGTTTTCTAAGTGATTTTTTACTTTTTATTTTATTTTATTTTCTAAACCTACCCCCTTCTCGCTAGCATTTACTATGTTAGTCATTCCTACATCATCAGACTTCTTGGTGAAGACCGAAACAAAGAAGCCATTAAGCACCTCTGCCACTTCCAAGTTTCCTGTTATTGTTTCTTCCTTCTCACTGAGCAGTGGGTCTACCCTGTACTTGGTCTTCCTTTTGTTTCTAATATATTTCTAATATATAACATAATGCCATGAGTAAAAGCAAACAGAGCTCAGTCTTTTTATTCACAACAAATATATAGAAAGATTTTTTTAAAATTGATCTCTACACATTATTACAATAAACTCTTCTGAGAGACCAGTATATTATAATAACAAGGATGACTTTGATTTAATAGCGCACCAACCAAACTGAGCATTTCAAGCTCTTTAAAATGGTGGATACAATTTATCATTCTTTTGCTTCTCGGAAGCTATTAACATGTGACTTGACCAAAGTTGAACAATGAATCATCAAGGGAGATTAACTATATAACCTGCAACCATTAGCACAACCTCCTGTTCTATCTCCTAGCCAACCCTCAGACAATTCAGTAAACCAAATGAAAAAGGAAAATGTGAAGAAGTTGTTACACGTTTGTTTAAAGAAATAATTTTTCTAGCATTCTTCACCCTACAAGCTCACTTGTAGAATCCAGCCACTGTCCTCTCTAAGCAATATTAATTAATTTAAAATTAGCCAATAAGGGATATAAAGGATTCCTCAATGCAATACACACAATTAGCCAATAAGGTATATAAAGGATTCCTCAATGCAATACACACAATGTTCTGCTGGTGTAAATGGTCAGAACTCCCCTGAAATTAAAGGTGCCACACCTATCAATACAAAGAGAGGATTTGAATTAAAGCAGAGGCACCTACCTTTTCCAGAGAACTAAACTGGACCACAGTCTGAAAGGTCCATCATCCCTCAGCGCCAGGTGTGGGGGATCTGGCGTTAATAAAACCAAGAAATTAAACTGAGATTTGGAAGCCTGTGTGGAGGGAATGGATCATATAGTTTCAATATACTGAACAAAAGAACTGAACTTTGACCAAGGAAAGTGAAAGCAAGTTTATGTTTAAATATTAACCCTTACTCTTTTTCTATCTGCCATTTACGTGTCTTTTATAGAAAAGTTGCCAGTAAATCTCCATCTCCACATGTGTTTAAGTCCTGGCTTGACAAAACCCTGGCTGGGATGATTTAGTTGGGGTTAGTCCTGCTTTGGGCAGGGGACTGGACTCAATGACCTCCTGAGGTCTCTTCCAGCCCTAGGATTCTGTGATTCAAAAGCTATAGCAGTTCTTAGACCAGAATGCATTTTGTGTTTCTAGCAAACATGTATTTAAAAAAGAAGATTAAAATAATCCCTATATTGGAGGTTTGATACAGACGTGGAAATACCAGGCAGGAAAATACCAGGCAGGATAATTGAAACTCATCCCATTACTATCCAATATCAGATTAACAGAGAGGTTATCTCCTCCTCCCCTCCCTAAACATCTCCACAGATATGGGGAGGTACGGACCAATCGAGTGGCCTGCAAAGAAGGCCCATGTGACTTCACAAAGAATAGTAGGAAAACATGAACTGGAATATTTAAAGTGATGGCAGAGGTCTGGGTTTTAAAAAGCAATAAGAGTAAGAAATACTGAGTATTATAATGAACGATCATGGCAATGAACTGAGTTAGACAATATGCTGTGAAATTGCAGGACAAAGAACAGATGAAACAAACCAATTAAAAGAAGCAACAACCATGGAAAGCACAGCAACAGGATAGAAAATTGGAAACCATTATAGAGAATCTGTGCAAAAGAGAAATGCCGACCCCTATTCTAAATCTTGTCTGACAACAGCAGACTTTGGATACATATATGACACCTGAAGAATGGGACGGAACTGGGAGAAGATGGCCTGAGCAAAACTAAAAATGGAATGATTGGATGGATGCTGGAAAGAGACATTGGGAATGACCCAGACCAAGTGCATGGGCCGGGGTTGTCTGATCTCGCAACAACATGTAGATTCTGGTAAAACTTAAATCGAGACCCAGACTAGGCTCATCAGAATGGGAGAAGTGAATGCAGAGGAGGAAGAAGAAGCAAACTATACTTTCTCATAAATCAGATAAAGGAGAAAATGGAACAGTTGATGGAGCATATTAGGAGACAGGAGCCCTGACTTGACTGCAGGGGAGTGAATAAAATGAATTGCCAAGTGAAAAACCAAGCATGAGTAGGTTAGCACCTGGGATTGATATGGAGTTGCCCAGAAAGGGTTAACTGCCGCAGGGAAGGGCACTACAATCTATTTGGCATGTGGACAAAAGCAACAAACTTTGGGGGAACAAAATCAGGTTTTGCAAGAGCAGGGAACAACTTTCACTCTCCTCCCAGAGCCAGGATAAAAGCCAGGGGAGTGAGTTCACAATTCCCTGCTTTAACCTACAAAGCCGCACTCTTCACTCCGAGCCATAATAGAACTTTTTTATCAAATATTTGTACATGGTGCTTACATTTTCCTGTATATCCTCTCTGTGTGCTAGACTGACTGCTTCTGTCTCTACTTAAAGAAGACTGGGTTAATCTCTTGGCTCAGGATTACCTCTCTTTCTAGCTTGTTTTTCCCCCATATACATTTTCCTTTCCTTCTACCCTCTCTTTTCTTAAAGGTTAAAAGTTATAGACTTCACTATCACAGAAAAAGACAAAGCATCAAATAGAAAAAATGAGGTAAAAATTTAATTTAAATAAGTTCAGTAAAGAAATTATAGTAACAATTTGGGCATGCAACAGCTAGTTATTCTCCTAAATTTCTTGAAAATATGATTGACAAAAATGTTAACTCTTCTTCTAATCCTAAACATTAATTAGTATATGAAACATGGGTATTTGTTATTTCCATAGAGGAATATTTTAAAAATAAAAGTAATATAAAGCAATGGAAACTGCCTTAAAATTAACCGATTAATACAACAACAGAGGCAGATGGCTAACTATGAATTTTTATCTAGTCTTAGTAAAACTTTTAAATACAAACTTATTTAAATGTTTAACTCTTTTGGTAAATTGTCCGTGTGCTAAAATGTGTTCCTTTAAAAATTTACCTCTTAATACCTTGTCTTGTATAGTTTTCAATACATTTCCAGCTTGTATAGCTATAAACACATTTCCACTTTTAATTGTCTTTTATGTCATGTATGTTATCTCATGTAGTATGTTGATTGTGTTATGTGACTAATTTTTTGCTCTAATTTTGTTGCAATAAAGTCAATTTTATCCTTTTAAAAATGTAAGTGGTCCCTTGGTATTTGAATACTGTGGTTGGGAAAAATCATCATAATATTATTAACCACCAATTTGTTTTACATAGTTCAGAAAGGAGTCAATTATAAATATATCGGCCCATGTCTTTGCTGCAACAAATATTGAAATTGCAAACCAAGTAATTCTCCTTTAGTAGACAGAGGTTTTTTATTCAAAGAAAAAAAATGGAAGGGGATCCTCAACATTCATTAAAGGATAATGGGCTTGTCTTAATCATTGTCTGTAAACAGCTAAACATGGATAAGTATTTGGCACTGGTGGCTCTTTTAGACAAAGGCAGAGCAAGGTCCAGTGTCTATAAATTGAAGGTAGAGAAATTCAAAGTGGAAATGGAGAGAGAGAGAGAGAGAGAGAGAGAGAGAGAGAGAGAGAATAATTAACAGACTCGCAGGGCTCATGGCAAGGTGTGTATGGATGGAGTGGGAGACTCTGAGTTCATAGATGTGGGACCTTGGGTGGAAGGGGCTGGTGGAAGCCAGACCTCAGTGTCAGCCGCAACACACCACACCACAGCTCCCTGAGCCACCCAGAGTATGCCACTCAATGCTACAGCAGCCATTTAAAGGGTCCAGGGCTCCGGATCTGTGGTAGCAGCAGCTCGGGCCCCCAACCCTCTCGCAACCTGGGGCAACTAGCCCCCTCGCCCTTCCTGTTGGTAAGCCTGGAGTTTAACCACTGGCAGAACTTCCCTGGGGATATGCTTTATTCCCCATAGCCTGGAGTCTTTAAAACAGGATTGGACGTCTTTTGGGCTATAGTTTAGCTACAAATAGTTGAGCTCAATGCAGGAATCAGCGGGTGAAATCCTAGGGCCCGTGCAATGGAGGAGTTCAGACTAGAGCAAAAATGGCCTTTGGGCCTTATCTGTCAGACCATAAATAGCAAGGAACAGACAAACTTGCTCATCCAGAGGTTTTACACAAGGCACACGACAGAGGTACCCAGGCTGTACCATAGTACATCTAAAAAGTAGCATGTAGGGTCATAATCCAAACACCCAGTTTCTGCCAGGGTACTGAGCGGAATCACGCTACACAGGAGTCAGCACTGTTGAATTAATGGTGAGCAGCACAACTGGTTTGATGTTGGAGCGAACCAGAGAAGTGGGGAGACCAGATCCCCTAGGCTCGCAGAGCTGCTGAGACAGGCTCTGGGCATGTGACTTTAGCTCTCACAGCTATTTCACTGGAATGGGTTCCCTAGGGAAGTGGTGGAGTCTCCATCCCTAGAGGTGTTTAAGTCTCAGCTTGACAAAGCCCTGGCCGAGTTGATTTAGTTGGGATTGGTCCTGCCTAGAGCAGGGGGCTGGACTTGGTGACCTTCTGAGGTCTCTTCTAGCTCTATGGTTCTATGATTCTATCCTGAGAGGATCATCCAGATGCATCCACCAAGCTGGGGGCTTAGAGCAGCCGAGGGACCAATAGCCAATTTCTCCCTAAGCCAGTTGGGTTGCCATGGAAACAAGATGAGGTGGTGGGCAGGAGATGTTCCCTCCACCTGCTGGGCCACAGGAGATTTCACAAACAAACATGAAAAGGGATTTGTTTGCTTGCTTGTTTCACTGGGCCAGGCCAAATTAGATGCCATGTTTTTCTCTGTTGTCTCTTCATAGGGTGCTCAGTTCTGTTTTAGTCTTAGAAAGGCCTAGAAACTGATACCAGACAATTTCTAATTAGGCATATATATATGGAGGATGATTGCCAACCCAAAAGTTCAAAAATCAGAAATAATACCCCTTCTAAAATTGTGGGATTAAAAAGTATCATTTAAATCATATTTTTGGCCTGGGGATTTACCCATTAGGCTTGGACCTTTATCTAAGAATTATAAAAGTGAAGTTTTCAAGTCAGGAACTTATTTGAATGTAGATGCTGAGAAAATAGCTTAGTTTGCCAGGGTTAAAACCATTCAGCTCTGCTGACTGCTCCATCTCTGCCCCCAAGACTCCAAATATATTTATGATGGGAGGGAGAGACAACCACCTTTGGCACCTCAGAATTCAGATCAAGAGATAAACAAGACTCAGAATCTGAGCTCCCCTCCAACAAAAAGCACAAGTTGCCTCAGGGCAGATCTAAGGCTCTGGATTAAAAAAAAGGATCATTCCAGTTCCAGTTCCAGTCCAAAGTGGCAGCACTGAGGGAAGAAAATATCGACAGTGATATTTCAAACGGTGTTGCATTCCTGGGAAGGATTGCGGCTATGTCTGTTTCAGGATCAGGGCAATGGGTAGAGACAGGCAAGATTGGAAAGAGAAGGGGAATTTGACTCAGGCTGGTGGATTGTCCATTTCTTACACTCTGCAGAGTCAGAGTGGATGATGTGCTGGAAATTACTGTAGCCAAACAGATTGTTGGGCTCAGTTTGTGTTATACAGGAGGTCAGTGTCAATGATCTAATGGCTCCTTCTGGTCATCAGTTCTGTGGCTGTCTGTACTGCGGTTGCATGCCAGCAGTTTTCCTGTGTTTGCTGACTGAGGCTTCCAGGGATCAGACTAAGAGGTTGTTTAATAACAGTTCACGTTTTCCACCTTGGGATGCAGTTGGAGCTCTAGGACCCTCCCATCACGTAAGGTCCTAGTACGCAGCCCAATGTTCCCTCTAAGGTGACTCCATGCACAGAGCCCTGAGCCTCTGACTGGGTGGGGCTGATTAATCTCCTGTGAAGCAGTGCTGCCGGGCAGCTTA